CCGTATGATAGTTGCATTGATGCTTACTGCTACTTGCGGTATTGCGTCTTGTGGTGGATCTGCGGGTGTGCTGCGCCTGATTCGACGCACTCTTGTGGTTCTGGTCGATGGAGGTATGCGGGTGGTGATGTCTGCTGGGATGTATGGGGGACCTTGGGATGGTGTAAGCCCGACGATAGTCGTATTGATGTTTGTTGCGTTCTGCAGCATTGCGTCTCTATATATGTGGTTGTTTGGTGGGACGCTATTCTCAATGGCGCTCTCTGCGTCTTGGTTTGACTCACGCCTGAGTAGCTTTGCCCAAGTCGGGTCCCTTCATTACGGGGCTGCAGACTGTCTGCCCTCCACGATGTTTTATATAACAACATAATATTATATCTCTGTAACTTTCCCACCTTTGAATGATTGAAGGCAACTTGTTGGTGGGTGAGACAAACATGATCGAAAATGCATTTACTCAACGTCAGTGACACAAACCCTTTCTGATGGCGAATTATTACTCTTATCTTATAACTGCCTTTTGGCTATATCTGCCGTTGTATTGGTTGGTGGAGCATATGTGTCGACCTCATGCGGGTGGTAGCTGGCGGGAGGATCTGAGGAGACTCTTAAGGCCGCGGCCGAAAGCCGCACAACGTGGGACCCCATTCCCTTGAGGTGAGCGGTAGACTCATGACATGCTCTGCGGCTAGTAGCCGTGCTGATCATGCAATTGGTGGTGATGCCATACACTTACATCACGTCTGCAGGAGCGCGCGGTGTGGCAGGTGGTGGCGCTCACGGAGGGTTTACGGCCAGTGTACCTATTTGCCTAAACTGTGTGACGTACATTCACTGTGGCTGGATTCGTTCGTATTCTGTATGGCGTTTACACGCATTGACATGCGCGACTTCGGTCGATTTTTGTGCTTACGCACTAACAAGGGGCCAAGCTTCTTTTGCTGGTTCGTCAGTTATTTTGCTGTGGACTACGGTCCAGTTCCCGAATTAGCGTTCCCTTCGGGGGGAGTGCATCAAAATGGTTGGCGCTCACCGTGCACGGCGTGTGTGGAGCCGTGTGCCTCCCCTACATTTTTTAATAAATGTAGAAGAGCAAAGACCTTGTATCGGTTATTTTGTATAAATATATTTTGAGCCTTTTCCGAGCGGGAAGGGATAAATAATATTAAATTAATAATGTAAACCTGATACAAGTGGAATTGGGACGTTTTATGTTCTTAACCTTTCTCGAGCCCTGTCTTCGTGAACGGGGTTCACTTAGCTTATAAGGCACTACCAACAGCTTTCAATTGCTCTAGCGAATATTCATTCTTCCAAAAGACACCTAAAAGAACTAAGTTACTAAACAAACACAACGTAAATAAGGCTCCTAACCAAGTCGATCACGCCAAAATATTACAAACGGCCTATTATTAAACCTTTAGAAAGATCATTTAGAAAGATCAAAACATATTTTATTAATCTTGGTCACAAATATATATAATTATTATGTAAAGGGGAATATAATACATTTAGTATTTAATATATAATTATTATTATGAGAAGGGGGAAGCGTTACAACATGAAAGTTGATGTAGAATGAGATAAAATTATAAATATAAACTAATAATTTATATTGAAAGTTATTTTTATCAGCAGGTAAAATCATGAATAACTGAGCTAAATGTACCAGGCATTGGCCGAGTTAAACAGGACTATTTCATTATAGTGCTGATAATCCTGAATCTACAACCATTAAACTGAATTTAAGCGATCGAAATATTCAACGTACATTACTGCTTTGAGACAACGATTACGGTCTGATAGACTGATTAATTGAATAAATTTGCATTTAATTTGGCGGCGTTTCTGTATGTCACCGATTACATGTTTTTTTCATTTTTATAATATTTGTATTTTTAGGGCAGTGTTGTGATGCTATCTTAAAACAAAGATATAAAGTTCTTACTGCTTTGTTACTTCGTTTAAAGCATAACGTAGGTATTTATTCTGTTGTAAAGATTTATTCAAAGTCGAAACTTAAAAAAAATTTGATAGAGTTCGGATTTTTTTCAGTGTTTTTTTAGTGTCAGGATACATGACATATACAGCACTGGCACGTGCAACATGCATTCCAACATTATCAATACCATAAATTACGTCCCATGCAAAAGTGTTCTCTTGTCTGGGCCGGGACACCCCTATGCCAGCTCTTTCCACTTGACCGAATCCAGCGAAGAGCGGCTCGAATTGTCTAATTCTTTCTACTTGGCTTGACTCACTGGCACCCTGAAGAGATGTTGCATCTCTTTGCTTATTCTGTCGCAACTACCAGGCTAGACCAACGGAGTCAACTATTTAATAAATAATAAATAATAAACTTTATTTGACATAAAATATTACAATAAATATTTCAGTGAATCCATAGGCTCCTAAACTAGTGTAAAACTGTGTTTCAGGAGCCAGTGGCTTCTCCCATAACATTGCATTATTAATTTATGCCATAAGATAAGGTACATTATAAGTTATTCAGCAGAACTACTTAAATCAAGAAAACAAAAATTAGTAAAGAACGGGCTACTCACTAGCGCATATCTGTTATGTATTTAGTTGTATTAATGTGTGCGTGCGTGTGTTTGTGTGTGTGTGTGTGTGTGTGTGTGTGTGTGTGTGTGTGTGTGTGTGTGTGTGTGTGTGTGTGTGTGTGTGTGTGTGTGTGTGTGTGTCGTGTGTGTGTGTGTATGTGTGTGTGTGTTTTTGTCAGTAATAAAAACCAGTTAACATGTTTTCTACATCGTCATAATCAAGGTTTTTAAGCCATAAAAAAATATACTTCTTAATAACATTATTATTGCACTTTTTTTACATTATACTCCTTATTCAGTCTGTTATATAGGTGTGGAACAATAAAATCAAACTGCTTTTGGGCGAATCTTGTTTTTACTTTTGGAATAGGACAACGGTCAAGCCTCGAAGATGCTTTAGGCAAGTAAGGAACATTTTTTTTGTGATAATGGCGTAGACTTTCGTAAATAAATAATTTTCTAATACTAAGAACATTGGCTTTGTCATAGACAACTGTTGTAGGATGTCTGAAGGGTAAGGAGAATAACACTTTCAGTACTGCACGCTGTGCACGTTCTGCAGTGATCAAGTAGGATTTTGCTGCAGTACCCCAAGCACAGATACAATACCTAATAATGCATTCACCAAGGGCTTTATAGGTTTGTAATGCTAATTTGTAGTCAACAACTGTTCTTAGAGTTTTAAAAACATATATGAGTTTTCTCAATCTTGTAGACAATGACATTATATGCATTTTCCAATTTATTTTATCATCAATTTCAACCCCAAGGTACTTTATTGAATCTACACGCAACAAAAAGGAACAGTTACGCTGGTAAGGTCGACTACTACGATTGCATGGATATGTATGAATTTTAATTCTGACGTCGGCATCAGGTCCTCCTGATGTTGTCTTGCTATAGCACATGAACTTCGTTTTGTTGATATTAAGGGATAAAAGGTTATTTTCTAGCCATTGCGTCACTATAGAGAGACAATCTTCCGCCAGGTCTGTCACTTCTTGCCAATTTTTATCATGGACGAGTAAGACAGTATCATCTGCAAACATGAGCAAGTCAAGATTAGGAAAATTAATTTTGCACAGATCATTTATATATAAGAGGAAGAGAGGAGGCCCTAGTACACTGCCCTGTGGAACGCCGTAGGTGCATCCTGCACTATCACTCTCATGACCTTCTACCCGTACACGTTGTGATCTTCCGACTAGATAATCTGCGAACCAGTCACGAGCTATCCCCCTGATCCCCATATTCTCCAACTTGGCCAAAAGGATCGGAATCGAAACAGTATCGAAAGCCTTTTTGGAGGTCTAAAAATACACCCATGCACTTGTATCCACCATCGAGGTATGTAGAGATTTTTCTAGTTAGCGTTAGAACTGCGTCTTCGGTTGATTTACCTTCTCTGAATCCAAATTGATTTTCACTCAGTAGATTATTAAACTCAAGATATCGCATGAGCCTCTTTTTAACCAACTTTTCCAACACCTTAGACAGAGCTGAAAGAAATAGATAAAGAATAGGGTGGAGCGCACATGTATGGGATATTTTTCGTGGAATATTGAAGTGGCGGATTTCGCAAAAGGTGCTCTGACGCTAACATAACCCTCTCGTATAATATCATTTATACAAAATATAATAAGAAGTACTGCCGCAAAGCTCGCAAAGTTTTTGAAATGTGCGGAAAAAAAGGTATACTTTCTTGACATGTAAAATGGTTTTAAATAAATTGTTTTCTTAAAAATTTTATTCACATATGAAGTGCCACTATGATATAAATTGCAAAAAAGTTGCACAGTGTTGCCTATGGCGTCATGTTTTTGATCTCTAATCGCGCATTGTTTTACCATATAAGGTCATTGGCCGAGCGTTTCGCCGCCCAGAGTCCGCGGGGAAAGGCGAGAATGCGGGACGTGGGTTAATTGTGTCGCATCGTTCTCTGCGCAATTAGTTATTTAGCTAGATTTGACATGAGACAACGTAAAAAATAGTATAATGAGTTTAAGAAGTAATTATTCGTCGCATACGCATTGTATACGTGGTAGAGCCATGCTGCAGTTATATTAGTAGTATAGTTGTAGCACGAATGGGTCGGCTCGACCGGGGAAGGACCACGCTCTCACAGAATACCAGCGTGAAATAGTAGCTTAATGCTGCTGTATTTCGTATGGTGAGTGTAGAGAACCGGAGACCCTTTTTACTGGAAACGAGGCATTCCATCTCAGTCCTCACGGGTGACAACGCATCTGCATTTTGATTTTTAATGGAGGATGGATGTAGATGTCTATGGGCCGCAGCAACCACTTACCATCAGGTGGACTGTGTGCTCGTTTGTCACCCTATTCTATAAAAAAAAATATCTTCGGTACTGGTTGTGAATTACTAAAAAATGTGCTGCCAACCTAGTGATGTGATGAAATAATGTCTTTGTATCAGTGGCACGATGTGCGGAAAAGGGACGACAAGATTTAGTAAAGGCCACTTGTGATATTGTTGCGACCGAAATCGAAAACATCTGGAAGCGAGCCTCTTTGCCAATAGTAAAACATAAAACAATAGTGTCAAAAATAACATCCTATCATGAAAAACATCGCGCCTTTCTGAAATCCTACCAAAAGAGTAAAGACAACGAAAATTATAAACAGAAACTACAGAAGTTTAAAGGAGACTGTGACGTTTTGTTTGATATTGGATCTTGTAAGTGCAAGTCGTTGTCAACACGTACTTGTGAGAAAACTCGTAAAATTTCTAAACGAGAACACGAGTATTTGCTCGATCAACGTGGCGAAAGAAGAATGATGATTGGATCTCTAGATAAAAAAGCTGCACTTAAGAATATAGCTTTGTCTGATCGGAAGTTAAAACGAAAACAATTTGAAGAGAACTCTATGACATTACAAGTTGATGAACCTGAGCAGAAAAGAAGAAAAACAAAAACTTCGTCTATTATTAATCTCACCTCGATTTTTCCCGCAATTAATATCCCCGGACCTAGTAAATTCCCAGTGGTAGCTATGACATTAGATAGATACGGCATTTCAGACCGTGCTGGTGCTGCCATCGTGTCGGCTACGTTGCAAGATATCGGTCTGGTTACTGAGGCGCGCTCGCGCACAAACGAGAAGTTCGGGAGCTGCAGTTAATGTGGTAGATGGCAATGATTCATTAGTTTGTATATCGTTTGATGGCCGCAAAGATAAAACAAAGTTATATGAAGATAATCGCAGAAAAACCGTTGTTGAAGAGCACATAACCTTGTTAAAAGAGCCGAACTCGCAATACATCGGGCATATTACACTTGCCAGAGCAGATGCACTTACAAATTCAAAAAAAAAAACTTTACCTTTATTTAGCGTTGAAGTGTGATTTGAAGCGAATAATAGCAATTGGGTGCGACGATACGGCAGTCAACACTGGCAACAAGGCTGGAATCATTTGTCTTCTAGAAAAGAAACTTCATCGCCCTCTTCAATGGCTCGTGTGTCTATTGCATGCCAACGAACTTCCTTTACGACATCTGTTTGAGCATCTTGATGGGAAAACTACAGGACCAAGAAGTTTCACAAGCGTCATTGGTAAAGCGTTGAAGGGTTGTGAGAATCTTTCAGTGGTTTAATTTACACCCATCGCATGTAAAATACCAGATATTTCAAAATCACGTAGTGATCTCAGTATAGATCAGCTTTACTGGTATGAATTATGTAACGCAGTTAGCAGAGGATAATGTGACGTAAGTTTAGCCAAGCGAAACCCCGGAAAGATTGTTCATTCACGGTGGCTGACAACAGCTAACAGGGTACTTCGACTATATGTTTCCACTAGTGAACCTTCACATAATTTGCGTATCTTAGCAGACTTCGTCATCCGAGTGTATGCTCCGATGTGGTTTGAAATTAAAACAAAACCATTTTGCGTGTACGGATTGAAACTCCTGCACAAAATGATTACATTATCGAGATACCTTCCTGCAAACCTTATGAAAATAGTTGACCCTGTGCTTCAACGCAATAGGTACTACGGCCACAGCGAAAACATTTTGCTTAGTATGCTTGCAAACAATCGCAACCATATCAAAGAAAAAAGAACCATAGAACTCCGGCGCATTGTTAAAATACGAGAGCAGTCTTCGGGCTTGGCGCCGATACGAGTGTTTAAATTACCATCATTTAACTTCTCTGCCGCTCAGTATACAGATTTGATTGATTGGAGGTTTGTATCGGAGCTTCCCCTGATCAAACAGATACAAACCAATGTAATTTATAGAGCTATTCGGAATATTGAAATAGTCGAAACGGAGATTCTCTGTCTCATATTAATTTCATTGACCACGTTAAATACGTACAATAAAATTAATTTCGTGACTTTTTACATTCATTAAATTACGAAGGATGTGACGTCCTGTATTATGAGCTTTTGTATACAACGGTATGGATTAAGTTATTAATTTCAGAATTAACAAATTTTTCGAAGAAAATGAAATCCACGTCAGAAATACATTTGCTTCGTTAGTTTTTTTTTAATTGTAGTTATAATTTTATTATTAATTATTAATAAGCAAAGCCATGAGGACAGTTAAAAAATATACCTTGCTCAGTCTATGGCACGAGGGCATCGATATGTTAAATGGTCTTCGTCACAAAAGGAAAATAACAAAATTCCTTAAATACCGCTAAATAAAATAATTTAAAAAAGTGTTAAGTTCATTGAAAATGAATAATAATTACACCGCTGTGTGTTCATTGAGGATTATATGATCGTTTGCTCACAATGAGTATTTTATTGGTTAATCCATTAAGTTCCACACATTCCACGTAGGAGTGTTTACAGGTGGATCAGGACCGTGCTCCGTGGCATTCCTTGGAGGAGTCTATGTCTTACAATACACTTTTGAAGGGCTGTAATGATGATGATTATTCATCAATAACTTCACATGTGTACAACTGAACATAGGCCGCCTTCACAGATTACCATAAAGTCATCCTAAGCCACCTGCATCCAACGACTCTAGGCACATTTTGTACTTTAATAATTAAAAATAAAAACTTTTTTTATTAAAACTACTTTTACGGATTTTATCGCGTTTTATTTATAATAATTTTAATACCCGACGTTTCGGGTGCTTACCAGCACCCATTGTCACGGGGGACTGAGGTGACTGACGTCCCGATGTCAAAGTTAACCCGGAGTACCTTCAGCTTTTTAATTATTGTTTTTGGTCCGATCTACGCAGAATGAACTAACTGTATTTTGAAGTCTTGTAGTGGTATGTTTGGGTTTAGTTTTAATTTTATTAATTATAGGATCCCAAGCAGGTGGTAGTACCCAGCCTCCTTCTCCATTGAAATTAGGATGTTTTTTAATTTCAATAGCTTCACGTATCATCCTTGGTAGGAATCGATGTTCTTTCGCGAGGATTTGTGGTCTATCAAATCTGATGTAATGGTTGGGGCCATCTAGAATATGATCGCAAACTGCAGACTTCCCGGAACGTTGATGCTTCACGTCAGCTATGTTCTTTTACGCGGGTTCTAATAGATCTCTTTGTTCTCATATATAGGGCAAAGTCAAGCAATTACTTATCAGAAATATTATTAGCTTTATAGAAATCGACACTGGATATAAAACGAAACCAAAATCGTCCAGGAGGAATCGGCGCGTGAGTACCGAAAACTATTCCACCTCAAATTTTTAATGCGATTCTCTTCAAATAGTCCTACTGATGATATAAATGCATGTTGCCATGGGGCATCTCGGTGCCATAGTGTTTAAAACTATTTTTTTTTTTATTTGAAAAAAAAATTGTTATTTTCAAACGGTAAAGTTTTTTTTGGATGTGAAAAATATGCTATAAATTTTTACGTTTAAGTTAATATTTTGTGAATTATGAATTTTTAAAGGTTTGAAAAATCCTAAACTGGATACTTTTGATCTATTAAAAATACATAAACAAAATAAATGAAATATATTTTTTTTATATTTTTTGATAAAATACTAATAAATAAGGTCGTATGGCGTTTTACTATAAAGTTAATATTTTCGAGGTTATAAATTTTTAGAAGTTTGAAGAATCCCAAATTTTTGACTCATAAAAATATAATAATTATATTAATAATTATAATGTCCTCCAGAATTCGGTCACGGCGGTCAGCCGCAATGGAGACTAGCCATTGGCGCAGGACAAGATCATTGTGCCCAAGTGTATGCACAAGCACAGGTGCACTCCCTATTGTCTTGCTCTCATGGGCGATGAGACGGCAAACCGACACAACCGGAGAGAGATCAGGTGCAGGAACAACGGATTTACAAGCTTTTCGAGGTACGGGGTTTAGACACCGTCAACTTCCTTACTCCGGGCAGCTACTGAGAATTTCTTAATGGAAAAACTCAATAACTGATACTTTTTGGGCCGACCCAGAATTCGAACCCAGGAATTAATGATCAGCAGTCGCACTACTACAACAGTCAGTAAAAATATATAAAGAAAAGGAATAAAATATGAAAGATATTTACTTGTTTGTATATTTATTGTTAATAAAATTCGACTTTTTGCGATAAATTTAATATTTTTAGAATTATGAATTTTTAACGGTTTCTACATGCCAAATTCGTATACTTTTGACTCATTAAAAATATATGAAAAAAAAGAACAAATATAAATGATAATTTTTGTAAGAACATTTAAAAACGGTCAACAACACCTTGATAATTAATTTACTGCAAAATTTGCAAAAATGAAATAAACTTTGTCAGGGCTATATATTCACGAGGATGATTATTCATATGTTTTTAATAATTTTGGTTTTAGGATAATGAACACTGTGTATTATATTTCCTATCCTTCTCCTTTGCATTTTTTACACTTGGAATTATATAATATATAATGATTTTCATGATGATATATATATAATGATAATATATAACGATTTCACATCGTAATAATGTGCCTCCAACTTCTTTTCATATTAAATCATATTTTAGAATACAAACTAAGATCTAACAGTTAAACCTATATTCTATTTCAAGAGTAGAAACAATTATGGTTCGGATAAAATACCCAAACTTTTAAAAGGGTATAAATGCTTAATTTTCGATCTTCTTTCGTGTTTTAGCAGAAATAAAGCAGAAATAAGTGCCTTTCATATTGTTAATTTAACATTAGCGTTTACCTCATATTGTTAATTTAACATTAGCGTTTAAACTTAATTTGCTCGCTTTTGTTACTAAATGTGTAAGGTCTAATCGCAAATGTAAGAAATAAAAAAAATTCTGATCAGCAAAATGTCAACAAAGTTAAATGATAGCGGAATGCAGTTATTTCATTTCCATGTCCGTAATCCTATCCCAAAAACCACTAAACCGCGCTTTGAACGGTCAAATGACTTAATGTAAATTACCGCTTTGAGACCCCGGCTACGGTCTGACGAACTGATTAATTGAATAAATTTACATTTAGACCCAACAGCGCTTCATATGCTACTGATTACAATCCTTCAGGTTGCCGAAATGAGCCTTTTTTTAAATTACCAACTGCTTTTTCATAGACATATAAGTAATGAAAACTGAAATGCGATAAAGTTGTTTGAAAACCCATTGTTGCTTCCCTGACCTTCCGTATACTCTTTGCTTTCCATCGTATTCATATTACGTGAATCAGGTCATCAGATCATAAGAACCTTGACGATTATCTGTGTTCAGTTCAATTGTTTGCGCATGAGCCTTTTTTAAAACCACTTACTGCTTACTTATACAATATACAGTCGCGAACAATGAACAGCAAAATGAGATGAAACCGTGGGACATCACACTATAAATTCCTTCGTTTTAAATAATTAAAATAAACGAATTTTACGAATTTTATCGTATTTAATTTTAACTTTTTAATTCTCGACGTTCCGAGTATTTCACAGCGTCCATGGTCACGGCGAGGGGTGATATATTCGACATCCCGATGTCATAGTTAGTTCGGCTACATTTGGTTTTAGAACATTAATTTTTGATCCGATCTACGCAGAATGAGTTCACAGTTTGTTTTTGGATATAATTTTATTGATTATACGGTCCCAAGCAGATGGCAGTATCCATTTATCTTCTCTAATGAAATTAGGAGTTTTTTTTTTTTAAATTTCAATAGCTTCACGAATTA